ATATATATATATATATATATATATATATACACACACACACACATATATATATATATATGGTTGTGTATGTTATTGTTGTATATTTTGAGATAGAAGTCAAAATCCATGGCACATAAAAAGAAGCAAAAATTAATGAATAGGACTATTTGCAGTAAGAATATGGCTTATCTTTCTGCACAGCAATCAACTCCAACTTAAAAACTCACTTATAGTACCAATAACTTTCATTTTGAAAAACGTAAATAAACCATACGACATTCCACAGTTGAAATTTATGAATTAACAATGAAGGCAGGAAGAAGCTGCAAATTGGCATTATGATTATAATCATGGATATACTTCTGAACCTTCTGGCGCCCCATATGAAATTCCAACTGAGCAAGAATTTAGACTTATAAAATTTTAAAATCTTAAACATTTACATATCTTCCTTCACTTGCCCATTTTGGAGACCAGATAGTTCCACCATCTGTCATATGGATGTCTATGATAGTATGATACTACTGAAATATTTAACACTAAATAATTTTTTCTTTCAACTCTAGCAATCCACCCTACAGAATACAATTAGTCAGTATGGCCAAAGAATGCTTATATCTAAGTAAGAAATAAAGTAACAATTCTCTGTGACCAGATCACACAATTCTCAAAAGCAGTCTATGCCATTAATGCATTAGCAACAAGAAAGTGCCCAAAATTTGATCTCAATCAAGTTTCGCCATAAATGCTTTCTTTACTAATTTTGATAAGAAAAATAAAGGCTAATGGATATGGATATCAAAACTGAGGTGATGCATACCCTGAAAGATGGCTGGAATTCAGGTGGTGCACCGCCCTTGTCACCAGCATCACCTGGAGGACCCCCAGGACGAGGACCTCCCCTATATCCATCCCTATCCCCAAATCTCGGTCTATCTCCCTCGAATCGGGGTGGCCCCCTGCCAAAACAACACACCAAAGTGAATCCAATCTCTTCACGAGGGAAGAGCAGAAATGGAGCAACGGATCGGAGAAACTATAGCCGCACCTGGGGCGGTCGCCAGGAGGGCCGGAGCCAAACGGGCGAGCCGGTGGCCTCGCGGACTTCTTCAGGGTTGCGGGGACTATCTCCGAAGGAAGGTTAAGGTAAGTTCTAAGGTACTCAATCCCATCGTTGGTCAGGTACCAGTAGTAGTGCTGCCACGCGAAGGTCTCCCTCACGTACTCCCTCGACTTGAAGCTCTGCATCAGCTTGATCACCTGCAGATTGGGCACGTCGATCTCTGGGTGCTTGGCGAGGTTGTAATCCTTCTTCGCGAAGAGCACCCCCTCTGCACCCACAAAGAAAAGCATCAAGTCAAATCCAAGAGAGTAAAAGAAAATCCCATTAAGCATTAGAAACCCTAGAGGAGCACCCTGAAAGAGGTACTTGCAGATCTCATGGCGGTTCTTCTTGGGGATGATCTGAGATAGAAGCGCAAGGGAGATTAGGGAAGAAGCAATTGAGACCGAGGGAAGACGAACGCGAACAGCATAAGAGGTTCGAGATCGTAGCGTTTCTCACCATGGTAATGAGGGAGAGATCGCAGCCTTCGCAGGAGTCTCGTGGGAGAGCCGACCAAGGGAAGCGCAAAGCAAACCCTAGTTTTTTCCCTCTTCTTATAGTGGCGTTGATGGGCTGGGTTGGGCCGAACGATGGCCCACCTTACGGCCCAAATTGATTTGTTAACGCTATAGAAATGTCGAAAATATTAGGTTTTATTATTATACATATATATATATATATATATATATATAATAGTTTCACTTTTTCGAATATTTTGAATAATAATTTTTATCTAAAAATAAATTAGATAATTTTTTTAAAAAAAATAAAAAAATTATTATATCAAGTGGCATAGATTATGCTCACATGTGGGCTTAGAACATGAGAATGACCACTTATACAAATAATTTACTAACCAACTGAAATAAATTGGATGATTTGTTAAGAAAAAATCCTCAATTTTTAGGAAAAAATTGAATAATTTAATAATATTTGAACCTCACCTTATAATTATTGGACAAAAGTACGCCTCAAGAAATTTGAAGTTATATGATTATGGACTAACAAACGAAATATTTTATTTAATTATTGTTTCGTGCAAAACTAATAAAAAATATACATAATCTATTTTTTTCCAAAATATTTTCTTATTTTTGCACAAATTTACATGTCTCTACAGCATGATAAAATAAAGAACAAATGAAATTAAAAGTGCTGAAATATTTATGCCTAGAAAAGAAATAGAGAAAAATTTTAATCCATAAACTAGGAGATCTCATCTAGAGCCTTCCAGAAGCTTCTCGAAGAGTAGAACCTATTCTAGAAGCAGAGGACGACTACGGTACAGGAGACCATGAACCCGAAGGTACATATCAGGAAGCCGACGTGTACAGCCCAGCTCCTGTTGAACTTGCGCTGGTAGCTCTCCGGCGGCTTCTGGTAGTGGATCTCCAACTCCCCCGGAAGCAGCGCCGGCGCAGGGCCCGCGGCGGCGGAGCAGCGGGTCGTGAGGAGCTTGAGGCGGTCGGTGGCGAGGGCGAGGGTGAGCTTGTGGCAGCGGCGCTGGTACTTGCAGCCGTGGATGCAGCGAAGGGTCTGGGCGGCGGCGGCGGAGAAGGCGAGGTGGCCGAGGGCGAGGAGGGCGATGGGGACCCAGCAGTGGCGACACTGGAGGCGGTCCTGCGGCGCCCCCAGCTGGGCCGCGAACAACACCGCCAGGAAGAGGAAGAAGAGCTGGAAGAGGCGCCACATCTCCTTTTTCTGCGCGTCCACCGCCCGTTTCTTCTCCATGGTCTTCTCCAAGTGGAGCTCCACGGCGGTGTTCAGCGCCCGAATTGCGGCCGCCTCTCCAACCAGCGCCCTCGCCTCCTCCTCTTCCGTTTCCCCTGCGCAGGCGCACGACACCTCTGCCGCCATCCCCTCCCGCTCTCCTCGATGCCAGCGATGACATGCTAAATACCTCATGTAGTGCTTACCTCGTCCGTCGTATAACGATGGTTGATCATTGAACGTCGGATCAACATCCAATGGCAGGATGAAGAAACAAGTTGGAGATGCGAGAAACACATGTTCACAGTAGAAGACAGCGGCCACGTGAATGGCTGCAGAAGCTGTCTTAAGGTAGACAAGTTTCCTTCGTCTTCTTCCAGCGGTGAGAACTCTCGCAACTCTCCCGAGCGCAGTTAAAGTGAAGACCACAAGGCGCAAGAAACTGTAAAGGAATCAACACTTCAAGTGTTGACGAAGAACTCCCAGCCAAACGTAGCAATGTGGTCATCACCAGGAGCAGCAGCAGCAGCTTCTGTGAGAATCATAGAAGTCATGTAATGCTTCTTATCTTCTGGTCCTTGAAATATACCTCAGCTACACGTACATTTACAGCGAGAAGTTTCAGATATCTGTGCGCTCTCTCAATCATCACGTTGAAAGCAGGGATGCTGCCCAGGTGAGGCAACCGATACACGCTTCTAAGCACATACACATCCTTAGCATCTCAGGATCAATAGTGGAGACACCATTTTTGTGGGAGAAGAGCATCTTGTATACAGGGAATACAAGTTCAACACCATAGTTCTGTGTGAGAGGACTATGAGCAGGGAATACAAGCATGATGGAGTTTGATGTGTGTTGATCATGCTTTCTTCTCTTCGGCAGCATAGAGAGCTTTAATTTCCTCAACATCATCATAGCTGCCAAGAAATACTGGAGACCTCTGATGAATCTTGGTGGGAACCAAATCAAGGGCCTGCAAAGTAAATGATTCATGGATCATATCACGTTTGCCAATCATGATAAATCTGCAAGGTTTCCTCTGCAGCTTGTGTTGAAGCATAGAGAACAGGGATTGATGCAGAATACCCGTTGTTCTCCTGTGAATGCTTGACCTCCTGCTTGTTCCATCAAGAATGACATTGGAAATACCTCATACAGAACGCTGTTGTACAAAGCAGAAGAACCTCTGTTAACATATAGGGAACCGGAAAATCATAATTTAAAATAAAATAAAATCATTAAGTGTTTTTCTAAATCATGAACTGTCAATTCTGGATTCTAAAAATCAGGAATCGTAATCGAACCATCCAAGTCCATTTGCAGTTCGATTTGAAATTGGCAAACCGCTAGGCTGGTTCGGTTCGATTCCGACCCGGTTTGATTCCGATTCACATCGAACCGTGAAATTGATTTTACTCGAATAATGAGGTTGTGTATACCGTAGTTTTCCATTAGGACTTTGCTTATCTGCAGGGTACAAAAAGATGCCTCCATACAGCAGTGTTCGATGGACATCAGCAACCATACTGTCAGATGAGCAATACACTAATCAAAGCCTAAGAACACAGGAAAACTGAGAGGTTTGAGCAGTACGTACCTTCCAATGTATCTCAGAGATTTTGGTGATGAACCATCCTTTGGGAACTTGCATTTCTCCACAAACCTAAGGACCAGTGAGTGATGAAGAGAATTCAGCTCGGAAAACCTAACAAGGGAATTCAGCTCAGGTTGGATCATACACACTTTGCTGTAGGAGTATCCCAGTTCTTGGCATTTCCTTCGTTCACTGAGTACAATTTGCCTCTCTTGGGTATCTGCAATGAAGGGCACAATGCTGCATAAGGACAGCCCATCCCACTGAGCTTTTAGAGGATCAACTTCAAGCACAACCTTAATGTCCGGATGGGTGAGCATGAACTCTCCAAGAGATGGATCGAGAGTGAAACCATTGACACCGTTCCCGGTGCTTAACACAAGCTGCATGCATCATGCAGAGATCGAGATGAGTATCTTCTGAGCAGGAGAAAGAAATGATAATAGAGAGGAACTCAAGTGAACTCACAGTGCAAGAACTGCCGTACATGCAGTAGCCAGCTGCTACCATATGCTTCCCTGGTTGCAACACATCATCAAGGCTCACATTATCCTTATCTTTAACCATGTAAATGCCAAAAATCTGTCCAAAAATAGGCCTAAATGTCCGAATCGGTACGAAGGCAAACAGAGAATAGAGTTTTGAGGGCGATAAAATTCATGGAAACAGAGGACCCATACTGTTCCAATGGAGACGCCACAGTCAATGTTAGAGGAACCGTCCAGGGGATCGAAGACGACGCAGTACCTGCACGTCCGATTGGGGGAAACGCTGCACATCGTTAAGATTTGAGGATGAGATTTAGCATGTCGCAAAATTTACGCACTTTCCACGCAGTGATGGATCCACAAAGGTGGCTTCCTCATCCTCTTCTGACACAAGAACACACTGTGGGAGAAGATGATTAGCCGAACGTGCTTTAAGAACGGTGCTATACGTACACAGAATCAGATGCCGTAAGGACTTACTGTGCGACCGCTGCTGATCAAAGCCTTGACGAAGACTTGGTTGGAGAGCACGTCCAGCTTCTTCTGTTCTTCACCCTGAATCAACGAAAGCAGAGTGAACGGACGTCTCTTCAGGTCAGGAAGTTTGATTTTTTTGCCATGGGGAGAGGAATGCTTGCCTGGACGTTCGTCTCTCCTGCGAGTCCTATGAGTTTGGCGAGGCCAGCCTGTGAGAACAAACAAGGTGGAATCGAAGTGGAGATAGCAATAGGAGACGCAATGGTGGAGGGGAAGAGGAAGAGGAGGACCTTGTTGACGGCGGAGCAGACGAACTTGCAGCCGAGGACGATGTGGGAGAGGAGGATGGTGAAGTCGCCCTTCGACTCGGGGTGCTTCGACTGTTCGTTCAGCACGTGCCTGGTGATCGTCATCAAGTCCGTCCGGTGCGCGTCGGCCGCGTGATCCATCGTTCTATGCTCGTAGAGAGAGAAGAGGGACGAGGCTTGATGTGTTGGAACCTCAGCTGCTGCTGCAGCTTACACTGTAACAGTATATATATAGAGAGAGAGGAGGGGAAAGAGAGGCGGAGGAAGAGATGGTGGCATCTGCGGATGACAAAACGTTGCATGTCCACATGCGGCATGCAAGTGAATTTAGTGGAGAGAGTGAAATGCTTACAAGTGGGCCACTTACTGCAAGTAGATGTATAGATGGTCCATTTATACGCAACACTTGTTTTACTGGTGATGGAATCAGATACCAGCATTGAAACGATCTTAATTGGGTTGCAAGCATCAGATGCCACGACAACTCTTTCGATTGGTTGGAAATCAGAATCACTTTACGCCAACACTTGATGATCCACAACCCACATGGTGTGATGCATGTCGATCCTGTTGGAAGCTATCGAACCTTTTTATATGAATGATCGAGTCTGGAGTCAAATTTGCTACGAGTAACATACAACATGTTACATAGTCAAATTTGTTGATGTCTAATCCTGATCATCGTCTAATTTATAATTCTTAATATGGTATGTAAACAAACATTTAAAAAATAAACGAGTCAAAAAAAATTATAAAAACATTAGTAGTTTATGGGGAAAGATATCAATTATGTCTAAATCGAGTTAATTCGGATTTATATATATAAAAAGTTTGATAGGGTTGGTCGAGAGGCATAGACGTAAGTTGGATAGTTGATTTGCATGAAGATTGAAGTTAAGTGTGGTGTTTAACAATGTCCCTTCAATACTCTTGTTAATTTCAAGGTAAAAAATTTGAAATTCAAGTAAAAAATAATTAACTTTTATTATGATGGTTTAATATACATTTATGATAGGCTTAGCCAACGAGGGTATGAGCAAAATATTCTTATTAAATTTTACAATGTATCAATACTTATGTTGCTACATTGATGATCAGGGTTCACTCTGTGTGTGACCATATGTTGAATCGTAATAATATTATCTTCATTATTAATCAATTAAAATAAAAAATATATATGTCAAATTATACTATGATATACCCTTCCAAATAAAAATGAAAATTATTAAGTGAGATGAATATTAAAAGAGAGCTAAGAGGATACATATTATTAAGTATTGAAATGAAAGAGTTAGATGACCTACATCTTATTAAACTTGAGATTTTATGTTGAATTGATGTTTATGTGTACTAAGCTTGACCAATTTGAATTAAACTTATGATTATCTAATTTATAATTCTCAACCCTAAGATAATCTCTTTCAATATATTTTATTTTTTTAGTATTATGTTGTCCTTGTATATGTTTATCTTATTTAAATGCCAATCTTAGACCACTTAATATTTAGTTTTAGTTTTATATAGTAATTTATGTTGTCAATGTTTTTCTTTTATATATATATATATATATATATATATATATATATATATATATATGTATATATATATATATATATATATATATATATATATATA